AAGCCAGTCTAACACGACGGAAGTCATCTCGTACGCTCACCTCTATGATCAGTGTACTCAGAACTGGTATGCAGTTACGTCAATTCTCGAAGGTCTTCTAAAACAGCTGAAAGTCAAGAATCCTTTGCTACAGAAAGTCCATCTGAGGTTAGATGAAGCCGGTTGCTATCACAACAGCTCCCTAGTAACCGTTGTGAGAGATGTCGCAAAAGGAGTTGGGGTTGAAGTTCATAGTTATCACTACTCGAAGCCGCAGTCTGGTAAAGACATTTGCGATCGTATCCTCTGTCCAATGAAGTCCTCTATTCGTGCTTCCTGCAACGAAGGGCACGATGTTCTAACTGTCGTGGACATGAGAGATGCATTGACGAAACACCCAGTGAAGGGAACAACAGCTGCAGTGAGCATAGTCGACGAATCAAAGCACACTCTCCGTATAAATGAGATTGAGCATTTTAGTTTAGAAGCCGGGCTGCAAAGCGGGTAAGCTGTATTTATGACGAAATCTACTCCAGTGGTTCGATTTTGGTGTAGGCGAAAAACTCGCGAATGCTCGTACATGTGCTGATTCAAACGGTTTTTGAAAAAACAAAAACGTACAGGGGTTTTGTATATTTTTGACTATAAAGGTCTAAACTCAACGGCTGTGTAGAATAGAGTCGTCAACCAGGTCCCACATCCCACATCCCAAAACTTAACGTCTAAATCAAGGTTATTTACGGCCATCGGCCGATGGAGATTTCTAGTGGTCAGAATATGCTAGAATTCGCCTTTTTAAAAATATTGAGAGGGCGAATTCTAACTTTCTTGGCAAACTTGAAAGGTTTTTAAGCAATCTGATATAAATTCTGGGGCTTAACTATGCGAATAAAATATTTTAAAATGTTACAAAATGCCTACTTTTCAATTTTCGAGACGTTGCGACGGTCCCTACGGATTGTGAAATAATTATGGCCCCTAATGCAGTCAGAAAATTATTTCGAATCAAACCAAATCTAATTCCAAGGTAAAGGTCTAAACTCAAAGGTCTAAACTCGAAAAAGGTCTAAACTCAACGGTTGTACAGGATAGAGTCGTCAACCAGGTCCCAAATCCCAAAACTTAACGTCTAAATCAAGGTTATTTACGGCCATTGGCCGATGGCGATTTCTAGTGGTCAGGATATGCTAAAATTCGCCTTTTCAGATATAGTTAGAGGGCAAATCCTAACTTTCTTGGCAAACTAGAAAGGTTTTTAAGCAATCTTATATAAATTCTGGGGCTTAACTATGCGAATCAAATATTTTATAATGTTACAAAATATGACTATTTTGCAATTTTCGAGACGTTGCGACGGTCCTTACGGACTGGGAAATAATTATGGCCCCTAATGCAGTCAGAAAATTATTTCGAATCAAATTGTTCTTTCCTAGGTAAAGTCTTTCTGTTGACAGAGTTTCAGGGAGAATTATTTTTGACGCAAAATTAACCGGGTGGAAGAGAGACAGCCTCTTAAGTTACCAGATCACGTTTTCCTGTGTTTATGCTAATTTACATGAAATGTGACACAAAAGTCCTTTTTAGGCCTTTCTTAAGTTCTCAAAACGATTCTGATGTTCACAAGTCAGTTTCGGCCTTCGAATAATTCATGCGAGCCTATTTATTTCTGAAAGACAGTGCATGGATGCCCACGATCTGATTCACTTATTATGCCGCTGTGGAAGAAAAACTAATGGAAAACTCAAGTTTATGGCACCTGAAAACGATTCTGATGTTTACAAGTCAGTTTCGGCCTTCGGATAATTCATGTGAGCCAGTTTGCTTCTGAAACTTACCAATATTGGCTGTTAAAGTTACTCCCCCGCTCCCCCCCAATGAGAGCAGGTTCGTCTCTTTATGCACGAGAGACCTATAACGATCGTTAAGTCTATATAAAATTACATAAGATTTCGGGTTTGAACTTGTCATTTCTATTAACAACTACAAAACTGTTTTCCTGAAATTGATTTATCAAAAGTAGATTTGTAACACGTAACGCCCTGGGCTCCAGTTGTTCAAGGGGCAGATAACGCTATCCACCGGATATATCGCTATTCAGCGGATAAATGCCAACAAAACGTACTGCGCTATCCAACGGATAGAGATTTATGGAGTGGATGGCTTTATCCACCATTTGAACAACCAGAGGCTAAAGGATATTTTTAAGTCAGTTAGCTGGTTCCCAGTTGCTCACGACACCGCAGCCGTTGGCGGGTAAATTCGAATTTATACAAAATTAACCAATCACATCATTAGAAACGAACAACTATCTTACGTAAATTCAAATGTGCCAGTCATTGCTTCGAGACCAAAACAAGCACAGACGATCAGGAATTTTTTGTAGAACTCGTAGCTCGTTTCCTGTAATCTGATTGGTCGGTTTTTTTTGTAATCCGCGCACTTATAGTAATTTTTTTTTCTTTATCGTCACATACCTACGTGTGATTTCGGTGTTTTTGTTTTAATTGTGATTGATTTCCATCTTTTACCGGTCCGAAAGGATTGCCCACTTAATTGGATTGTTTTTGGACGCTCGTGTTTTTTACTTTTTACACCCCTACCCCGAATTGGAGCGATGTACAGAGTAACTGTCAAACGCAGGATATTTTTCCAGTTGTCTAAGATTAAATATACCCAAGTTTAAAGCTGAGTGTTGTGTGAATATCGACTATACTGCATTACTCAAATTCAACCTGCAATAAACTCAAATTACTGTGCATGGTGAGAAACATGTTAAAAATCTATTGTACCAGGTTGTAACAAATATTTTAATCTGAGTTTTCAAACGGCTGAAAGCAGGCAGTAAAAAGTGTAGCTTTTTCTGTTTGCAGCCAGTTTTCAATATTTGACCTGCGTAACGTCGTTAATGGCCTGTGTGCGATTTTTTATTTCGAAAATTGCCCAAGGATGGGTTCATTCGGCCCATCGGTGGAAATAACATTTCCACTCCACTTCTTTTTATCATAGGTATTAAAAAAATTATTTGCCATTTAAACTAGCATATCACTCGAAGATAGTTTGTTCAGATCATTAGATGTCACGTACAGCCCTTTATTGTTTATTGTTATGATAATATTTTGGAAATGACATGATCTGATTTTTTGTCAACTTCTACTTACCAATAGGATTGCCCGCATGGTTGGTTTCGTCATGAGAATTCATGCTACCTTATTCATAACACTCCCACGCCAAGATGGAACGATGCACTCACGTTTTGTCAAAATCACCGGGCACATCCGCCGATAATCAAATCTGCCGATGAGAACGACTTCATATTTCGCCTTATAATGAGCCAACCAAACGGGAGAGATCCTCGTGCATGGATTGGACTGAACAGAAAAATGAACGATAAGTTTTACTGGGTGGACGACACTCCATTAGCGGGCCGGTTCTCAGCATGGGCGCAGGGAGAACCAAACTACCTTCACGAAAAATGTGTCTTTATACGCGTCAAAAAAGATCGACAAAAAAATTGGATCGACTCTCCTTGTACTTATAACGGTACACCTTCGTTTCCAGCCCCAGTGGTTCTGTGCCAAAAAGGTATTTTCTGACTGTTGGATTCCTTGATTGTTCACCTCAGTTTATCTAATGTTCACGTTATGTTCCCGAGGTTAAAGTTTGTACGCTGCTATGAGTTATGCTGTCATCGTTTCATAATAGCCTCTCGTATGATAAAGGATTTCTAAGTTTTTATCAGTTCCATCGTTCGTCAATCTTGTTCGTCGTTTCTTGGCATTCGAAAGAGACATCACATTTTAACATATTCTGTGTTTAATGGAAACCTGCTTACATTAAGTTCGATTTAAAAGTTCACTTGCATGAACGGCATATCACAAAATTGAGAACTCATCTATTTTAGGTAAAGAATATTGAAATATATAGCAAAGTTTATATTTAGATTAATCATGCTAAACAAATAAAAAAAACTCTAATTACTGGAAGAGTATAATTATTATTTTTTGTTACCGCTGATGAAGCAGCTCAGGAAAATGACCTGCATTGACACAGGGATTGCGAAAGGGATTGCGTGGTTTTCATGCAATCATTGAGCCTGCACCCGTACATTAGGTGAAAAGTTTTTAATTGCATTGTCCTTCGCTTTCGAGTTCCTCTTTTATTGGGTGCATTTTATAAACCGTGAAATATCTGGGGGTATGGCTTGTCAAAGGAACAGTTTTTTTTGCCGAGAAAGAGGGAAAGAACACACTATAAAGATCTAGCTCTATGATATCACTTATCATGCCACTGTGGAAGAAAAAATAAACTCACCTGGTCGCCAGCTGGCTTGTCAAAGGAACAGTTTATTAGTCATGTGCCGAGTAAATGGCAGCTTTTCAACATCTGCACCCTCGTGTTTGTCATAAAAGCTTTTAATTACATCGTCCTTCGCTTTCGAGTTCCTCTATTATTGGGTGCATTTTATAAACCGTGAAATATCTGGGTTTTCTTTTTTTTTTATATAAAGAAAGAACACACTCACAGTTTATTTATCTGACGACGGACGCAGTTCGCTTGTGTTTTTGTTTCTCCAGACAATACATTGATGCCCACCGTCTGGATCACTTATCATGCCACTGTGGAAGAAGAACTAATGGGAAACTTAAGTTTATGGCACCTGCATATTCATAAGACTCGCCAGCTAGCTGCATAATAAGCGCTCACCGTTCGTGTCTTAATTATCTATCTCTTTCTGCTCGTTTCCTCGTTTTAAAACAAAAAAATAGCGTAAGTTGAACTTTACGTCACAAAGAACAAGTTTACTACGCAAGGACCAAACGTTTGTGTTTTGAGCGTTCTTTGTACGTGAGCAATATAGTAATTTGATGGCAGCTTTTCAACATCTGCACCGTCGTGTTTGTCATATTTGGTTGTGTTTCACTGAAAGTCAATTTTAAGTTTTTTCAAATGCTAATATTTCAGCAAATAAACTGAAAATTTAGGCTCAGACACCTCTAATAAAGCATTCAATCTGTCACATATCGTGAAGAAGAAAGAATCACTTTCTCTCCCCTGCAACCTAAAATATCCATCAACACAGATAACGTTCTTTGGTTGCAGATGGCTTGGTGGAAAACCATACTTTTATTATTGTTAATTCAAACTTCATCAGTTCCCGCTACCAACGATAATTTCGACTCAACGTTATCTCGCTCCTCACAATTTAGACAATGGGAGAGCAAGCAGCTTCTGGGATACGCTTTCAAACGGTTTGACTCTACAAGTTTAATATCGTGCGGTCAACAGTGTCTGAGAAACCAACGTTGCTCTTCAACAAACTTCAAGTGGTCCTCCTCTAAGAAGGACGGCGAAGGAACATGTGAGCTGAACGACCACGAGCTTTCCTTTGTTGAGGAAAATGTTAACTTCGTCCATCAGGAAGATGTAACGTTTTCCATGAAGGTAATTCAACTTTTAGTTTGCGCAAAGGTTAAGGCGAACGTTGATCAGTATTGTCTAACATTTTAATAAAAAAAATTCCTCCTGTTATATTCTACAGATCCTCGAGAACTCGAACGACTAAAATGTTGCAGGTTTAAACTTCTCCAATTTTCCTGTGAGACACTTTGCAATTGACGTTTGTTTATATAATCCGATGTATGTTCTATATTCTATATTCTATATTCTATATTGTACATTATTTTTCACGACAGGCCAAAGCATCATTTTTACCAGATAATTAAGGGGGTTTGCCAATCTAGGACTTCAATAGCGAGCAGCTGATTGATGTCTACACTCAGAAAGTTCGGATCTCTTTAAGTAACCAGATCACGTTTTCCTGTGTTTATGCTAATTTACATGAAATCTGACACAAAAGTCCTTTTTAGGCTTTACTTAAGTTCTCAAAACGACCTTCGGATAATTCATGCGAGCCCATTTGTTTCCGAAAGACTGTGCATGGATGCCCACGATCTGAGTCACTTATTATGCCGCTGTGGAAGAAAACTAATGGAAAACTCAAGTTTATGGCGCCTGAAAACGATTCTGATGTTTACAAGTCCGTTTCGGCCTTCGGATAATTCATGTGAGCCAGTTTGCTTCTGAAACTTACCAATATTGGCTGTTATAGCTACTCCTCCCCCGCCCTCCCCCGCCCTCCCCCCCCCCCCCCCCCAATGAGAGCAGGTCCGTCTCTTTATGCACGAGAGACCTATAACGATCGTTAAGTCTATATAAAATTACATATAGGTTTCGGGTTTGAACTTGTCATTTCTATTAACAACTACAAAATTGTTTTCCTGAAATTGATTTATCAAAAGTAGATTTGTAACACGTAACGCCCTCGGCCCCAGTTGTTCAAGGGGCGGATAACGCTATCCACCAGATATATCGCTATTAGCGGATAAGTGTCAACAAAACGTACTGCGCTATACAACGGATAGAGATTTACTGAGCGGATAGCTTTATCACCATTTGAACAATCAGAGGCTAAAGGATATTTTTAAGTCATTTAGCTAGTTTTCAGTCGCTAACAACACCGCAGCCGTTGGCGGGTAACTTCCAATTTATACAGAATTAACCAATCACATCATTGGAAACGAACAACTATCCCACCTAAATTCAACTGTGCCAGTCATTGTTTAGAGGCCAAAACGAGCACAGATGATAAGGAATTTTTGTAGAAATCATACCTCGTTTCCTGTAATCTGATTGGTCGGTTTTTTTGTAATCGCACTTACAATGATTCTTTTGTCTTTATCGTCACAGATATCTACTTGTGATTGTATTTTTTTGTTTCAATTGTACTTGGTTCCCATCTTTTATAGGTTCGAAAGGTCTGCCCACTTGATTGGATTGTTTTTGGACGCTCGTGTTATCTCCTTTTCGACACCCCTACCCCGAATTGGAGCGATGCCCAGAGTATCTGTCAGACTCATGGGGCACACCTACCCATTATCAGATCTTCCGATGAAAACAACTTTATGTGCCGTCTAGCTCTGAGCCAGCCAAACGGTAAAGTCAGCGGTACATGGCTTGGACTTACACGGAGAAAACCCAAAGGTGCCTTCTACTGGGTTGATGATACACCTTTAGCGGGGCAGTTCTCTGCGTGGGCGGCTGGGGAACCGAATAATAGAAGAAACGAAGAGGATTGTGCATACATTATTTCTCAAGGAGGTGGACAGGGAAAGTGGAATGACTGTGGATGTACGTGTGCATACCTTGCTCCACACGGGCCTGTGGTTCTTTGTCAGAAGGAAGTCAAGTGAGGGGTCAATTCCTTGGGTGTTTCGACTTGATGCAAGAATTTGTTTTTCAGCAGCAACTACGATGTGTTCGATAGAGTGAAGATAATCAAAAGAAAAGGAAATATTAAGATTTTTTATCATCCTTGATCCCTGCATATGACTCCTTTGTGAGCCTTAGAGCGTAGGATTAGGCCCTAAAAAACAGGATCAATTAATTTTAAATGGGCGATGATTCTTGTTCTTTTTCGAATTTTTTATCTGTAGGTTTAATTTTTATGCTTTTTACACTCTCTTTAACAGTAAAAACACCCTTTCGGTGCTCTCAATCTCCCCTTGAAAACAAACGGTACGGAATTTGTAGCTCATGGGTGAAATTCTACTATTTTAGCATTACTGCAGCTGTTTTATTTATTTCCTTGGATACACTTTCGGAGTATGATAAACTGATTACTCATAGGAACTCAAAGTATCTTTCCAACCAGATAACCAAAGGATTTTTTAGATTCAGCCAAGTTTAGCCCCTTTGTATGCCTGATATTGCAAGAAAAAGATGAATCACTTATATCCAGAAATGCGCGCAGTAAATAAACGGAAGATTTGACGAAATTTCGTTAAAAGTAAATGAATCTTCATTGATTTGACGACTTTGGCGAATTTTGGTCAAATTCTTCAAAGCAAAGTCAGCTTGGCGGAATTTACGATTTTGATGAGTTTTTCGCCATTTTCGTTACTGCACGCATTTTTGGACATATCTCATGAATCTTCATTCATATTCCACTTTTTATGCAGGTGCCTCTGTAGATAAGAACGTTCGGTTGTCTTAAATTGAATATTTCCCGCTTCTAAGCTATCTTTTTAACTTACTTCAGCGGTAAAAGCTTTTGTGATAATAGAACATAGAACTTGCAAAGACTTAAGCGTTGAGTTTTTCACGTTCTTTGTCCATGACAACTGCAGTGATTTGCGGGCATCTTACCAACATTTCACCTCAGCACGGGTCATATATATTTGGTTGGGTTTTGCTAAAAGGTAATTATTATTTTTGACATTGTTTGAACAAAGAAAATGAAACTTAAGGGTCAGGTGTGAAAACATCCCATTTGTCACATGACGTTGAGATCAGGTTTCTGAAAAAAGACCACTCTTCTTTCTTCTGTAGCCTGAAATCTCCATCTACACAGGGAACTCACTTTAGTTGCAAATGGCTTGGAGTAAAACAATATTACTATTATTGTTCGTTCAAACTCTATCAGATTTTGTTATCCAGTTAGGTAAATATGACTCAATGTTTTCTCGTTCATTACGGTTTCAACATTGGGAGAACAAGCAGCTTTTGGGGTATGCTTTCAAATCAGGGTTTGTCTCTTCAAGTTTGCTATCTTGCAGTCAGCAATGCCTAAGAAATCAATGGTGTTCTTCCACAAGCTTTAAGTCGTCTTCCTCTAAGACAGATGACGAAGGAACTCGTGAACTGAACAAGCACGTTGTCTTTGTTGTAAAAAAAAACAGCAACTTTGATGACCGGACGGAATTTACTTTTTCAATGCTTCTACTGGGAATTTCAGTGCTGCATAATGATATTTGAACTTAGCTCTGCATATTGTTCGCTGTTTTAAATTATTAAAAGATGTTGTAGTGTTGTACCTTTTTGATAACGTTTGTTTAGAACTAGCTTGGACAAGAAAATTTCAAATACTCTCCAGCCCCGAGAAATTGAACGGTTTGAATTGTGCCGCAAGAGAGAATGTTCGCGGTCATTTTGCCTTTATTTCACTTGTTAAACATTACCTGAAAATGATTATTTTTTCGCAAGGAGTGAAGTTAACTTTTCAAACAGGAAGTCAAAGGATTTTGCTCATTTAGCTTAGTTTACGCCTTTGTTTGGCTGATTTTGTAAGTGGCGAGTGATTCTTCACTAATATTCTACGAGTGCAGGTGGTTTTATAGAGAGGAAGCTTCGTTTCTTTTTAAATTGACATTTCTTGCTTTTAAGTTTAGTGATGCAAATTTCGACACGACATGTTTTTATCTTCAATTACTTTGGTGGTAAAAGTGATTCATGGGTTTCATAACATGTAATTATTGAGTTTAAAAACTAAAAATTGGTCGATTTTGCACGTGAGTCCTTCAAGGATCTTCGAAAAAATTATTCATTATATTAAGGTTTTCAGATTAAAATTTTGATCTAGTTCCCCTTCCCAATCCCCTCCGTTTTTTTTCCACAGCGTAGCAAACAACGGCAAAAAAATAGTAACAAAACCTAGATTAAAATATCCATTTATTAGCTAGACCGAACGCACTTCACAAATCCCCTTTTGCTAGTTATTATTATCATTAATTTAATCTATAGACCGCTTTGCTTGAAAACAAATCAGGAAAACTGGGTCGAGTTAAATTCATTCCCAGTTTTTATTGCAACTGCACTTTGCATGTAAAAAGCAAGAGAAGAATGGGGTTAAGTGCATAAAGTCCAAACTTAAGGGTAATCCTTCATCGAAAGCTTATCAAACAAAAAGCTTGGATTCATTTACTTAACAGTCCTGGCCCCGGTTGTTTAAAAGACGGTTACTGTTGACCCTGGTATCATTTACCACACCAGTTAAAGAAAAAAAAAACTATTAAGTACATTTGACTCACTAGCTGCGTGAGCGGAAGCAATATGTCCTTACATGTAAATCTCTTTGTCTGTAACAAGTGCGAAAATATAGATCGCTTTTACCGATGGTTAATGATCATTAATTTTTTTTTTTCGACAATTTGGCGACGGTAAGTCTCTTTAGTTACGGTTACGCAACATATTTTTTAAATTCTTCTTGTGCTTGACATAGCATGAGCAAAGAAAATGGAAGTGAAAGCTTATTTAAGTACTTCTCTAAAGAAAAAAATCAGCCATATAGCAAAAAAGAAACAGATTCCCAAGGAACCTGATATCTCCTCTACAGTTTCACTTAGAAAACTCGCTCCAGTTGCGAATGGCTCGGACAGAAACAATACTTCTATTAAGATTACTTCAAACTCCAGAAAGCTCCTCTGTCTCAAATGATAATGATATCTCCATTTCATCTCGTTCCTCTCTAACTAAAGCGTGGGATAAACTGCAGCTTGTGGGATTCTACCGGTTTAATTCTGCAAGTTTAGCATCGTGCAATCAGCAATGCCTAAGAAATCAGTGGTGTACCAAGTTGCCATCTAAGAAGGATGGAAAAGGAAACTGTGAGCTGAACAAGCACGAAATTTCCATTTCTAGGGAAAATATCAACTTTGTTCACCAGGAAAATGTTTTGTTTAGTATGTACAAAAAAAGGTGCGATAGAAGATTAGTTTTATTAATCATTTATTCCGCAACGATTACCACATTTTCGGGTGCAAATCCCGCGCGACAGGCTCGAAGGTGAATAGCAAATGATATTCAGAGTTTGAGTAGCCAATCAGAGCGCGCCTTCAACGCTATTTACTGTGGCATATTGTAACATGAATTATCAAAACCAAGGTGTGAGTTATCTGCCTTAGCCTTCGGCTTCGACAGATTCTACAGACGTGAAGTTTGATAATCCATGATATCATGCGAAAATCTAACTCAATAACTGTTTAATTATACATTTTTAGAACAATCTGCAAAAGAGGGCTCTTTTTTCCAAGTATGATAAAGTTTGAGAACAATACACGGACGATAGACTTGGCAACTACAGGACTTTTAATGCAAAATCCGCCGCTGATATTGCACTTGTCATGTCAATTTCGAACGCTATTGTGTATCGATTGAATACTCTCGACCAATCATAATTTCATATTGATTTTAATGTATAACGATTAAGCTCGGCAGGAACCGAGCATTACTCTATTCGATCTAGGTAAATAAAAAGATCGCAGATTAACAGTGTACCACGGCACTATAGCGATTTCAGAACAAAAAAGCTGCCACTTTTAATTTCTTTTGATCATAATAGATTCAATGTCTTTGCGCTGTATTCTCCATTCAATTTTTGACAACAACGTTTATAATAAAAACATTTTATCTTAAACCGACTTAAAGCCTGATTGATGATGCGATTTTTGTCGCATGGAATAATCTTGACCATCTCTGATACAGAAAAAAATAAACCAGGCGGGGAAAACTTCTATGAAGACAGGTGTTCTGTCTTCACTTTTTTCTAAATGATTCCTGTTTTCATCAAAAAGATTAAGTGCTTCTCGATATTGGACCTTTACAAGAAACATAACTAAATAATGAACAAAAACCGCTTGATTATCGCCCTTACGATGGTTAATGTCTGTTTTAGTCCTTAATTATGAAGTACACTAAATTTTTTATGTCAGTTCTGCTTCGAGTTATTTTGGCTGATAAATTGAAATTCTCCATCGAGAACTACACAACATCTTCCCGTTCGTCCTATTTTACAACCCTGAAAGATACAGAGCTTATCGGATACGTAGTTGATCATTTTGATTCTCCCAGTTTGTTATCGTGCGGCCAACACTGTCAGAACACTGCCTGGTGTACTTCCACAAACTTCAAATTGTCCTCTATGAAGAACGGAAAAGGAACTTGTGAACTGAACAAACATGATTTCTCGGTCAACAGCCAAAACAGCAACCTCCGAAACCAGCTGGGAGTTACCTTTTCGCACTTACTTAAGGTAATAAAATCAGAATAATAAGGATAGCCAGCAGTGTAATATAGCTTGAGAGAACTGTTTGGGCTTGTAATTTACAAGAGTTTTACGCAAGCAATGGGTCTTACGTATTCTCTATAAGCCTGGTTTTTTTTTTTCGTTAAATAAATGTCTTTCCACAACTTGGTTTGGCCCTATTGACACTGTTTAACAAAGTAAATGTTCAGATAACAGATTCAGCTTAGTTCAAGAAGGCTTACGACGCAGCTTTGTTAAATAACGGCTAAACTTTGTTCGAATTACCGGCCCTTACTGTCTTAAGAAAGGTATCCGTCTTTTTATGTTGCATTGATAAGCCAGAAAAAATCATTACAGTCATGATAATATCTATCGTCAGCCTTGCTATAGACTTGCAACCGTAAAATGGCCTCAAATTCTCCTTTGAAATTATTTCAAGCTCTTTGCCAAAAGCATTACATCTCAACATCTTGCGTGCCGAATGAATTGATTGAGCTAATGGAACATTTTGCACAAGGTTCTAAATCTTAACTCAAGATTCTGTCTTATCCGATTACAACCGAACCAGGTACGGTAGTTTATAGTGTAATACGACTGGAGATTGTATATAACGAGGCTCTCGCATTTCCATTTTATCATAATTATTTGGAAGACATCTGCATTTTTTTTGCTTTTAAAGCGGCCATTGCCGAGCGCGAAAAATTTTATTTGGTACGGCACACGAGGGTACAACCACTTTACCTTCCTTAAATGAGTTTGTTTCACCTGTGGGAGGCTTTAAGTTCATCATTCATCATCAGTAAACCAGAATAATATCATATTGGACGGCTAGGAAGCAACTACTAAAAGCCCCCCAAAATTTATTAAATACAAATGTTGCTTATCCTCGTTTGGTGGAGTCGATGTCCATTTAATCCTACTTTTGGGCATAATTCGGGTTTGGGAAAATATTTTACACGCATAACATATATGTCAGTTTCATGTGTTCTTTGGGTCAAACTATCGCGTTCATCAAGCCGATAATATCTCTGGTTGAAACTGCTATGACGGCTTAATGAATGGGAGAAATATTTCAGAAATTTAAATCTGTTAATTTTGCAATTTTTCCTTCACATCAAACAACATGCATCAACAAATTTATAGTGGCCATGAGTTGCAGTTTATTATCCGACTACTTTACAATCCAGAGACTCCTTACATTAAACTTTGAATTGAAGGTTACTACCATCCTTAAAGTGCTTACAACTCTTGCTTCTAACCTGTTTCATAGGGCTGTTTGGTTACCGGCTGCATGAATGACGGTTCATGTTTATCAGACATGAAGAAAAACACGTTCACATGCTCTTGCAAAATACCTTGGATCGGAGACAGATGTGAAATTATGCTTCCCGCAACCAATGGATATGAGTTTTCAGGTAGGGCATATCTCCATGAGCTCATGTTTGAATTTTTGACAAAAAGTGCTGAAAATAAGCCTGAATGAGGCTTGCCCATACTGGTCTGCGCAGACGAGGTTTGCTTCGAGAATGACCCGGCCCAGCCTTTTTTACGAGCAATTGCCTAAACACAAAGGAATACTTTCAAACGTACGACAAAAAATGGGTTGCCTTTCGAGGTGATTCAACCTGAGATTAGAAAGCTTCCCGAGGTTGTGTGAAAAGGTCAGTGGTTACATGACTTTTGGGGTGAAATTCTGGTCATTTTGTTGCTTCATGTATTTGAAAATGCAACAAATTTGTCTTCCTCATCAACCTCACTGTAACCTCAAAGTAGTTCGATACCTTTCGGAAAGCGTGGAATTAGCAAGATTTATCAGTAATTCATAGATTCTCAGTTAAATCCTTACGACCTCAAGAATTATTTTACTCCAAAAAATGAGCTGACAGAAACTATCGTTAATTCATTTCCTTTCATGAATGCTCGTATTTTGACTGTTTGAAGCATTTATTAGCCCTGGGGCGTTCAAATCGGAATCTCTTTATAAACGAGTGAATCGAAGTCGTTACTGAGAATCTCATTTTTTTGTCGAACAGGCAATTGTCCCGAAGGTTCCGGAGCCGTTTTTGAAAGCTCATGTTTTTTCATAATCGATATTCCAACTGCTTCTTGGAACTATGCTCGTTGGACTTGCGAAAATTATGGAGCAGACCTGGCCGTCATAAAATCCGTGAACGAGAATAACATCATCCTAAACCTGGTAACGAATCAGCCAACAGTACAAGCGTTAGGCGTGTGGATTGGACTGCAACGAAATTTTTTTCAAGACTACGCGTTCTACTGGGTCGATGATACTCCGCTGGAATACTCTGCATGGGCCGAGTCACAGCCGAGCAGTACCCGAGAAGAGTGCGTTCACACCGTCACTGAAGGGCAGGAAAATGGAAAGTGGAATGACAATTATTGTGGTTTGAACGGGAGGGTGTCACCGAATAATTTTCCTTTCATTCTTTGCCAAAAAAGTATTTAATTAAGGCTAACTCGTAAGTGGCTGTTTCTCTTGCAGTCACTTAATTTTGATATACAGACCCCAGCTACTTTCATTTTGAAAGAAATCATTTCATTTATGTTTGAAAAAAACCCTAACTGTAATAGTAAAACTAAAATACCAACGAACTTAGAATAGAATTACAGTTATATCATCATGCAGCCACATACCTTTGTCCGTCAAATAAATGTCATGAAAAACATAATAAAATGGAGAAATTGACGTTTTGTCCGCTAAATCTTTATTCATGTAATATGGACATAATGTTCTCCTCGGTAGATCATCTCATGAATGCCTCAAGCTGCCATCTTGGAAAAGATCCTCAGCAAAGCCTGCGAATCTCAACTTCCCTGCTTTTGCGTTCGACGTGAGGACGTTGTTTATTGCAAATCATCCCATAGACTCCTGTCTAAAGAATTCATAACTTCGTTTTCCAATATGAAAGTGATCTTCGCAGTACTTGAGCAGTAGTGCAAATAAGGCCTGAAAAAAATTCAGGCCTGTACGAGATTTGAACCCATGACTTCTGCGATACTGGTGTAGCGCTCTACCAACTGAGCTAACAAGCTAACTGGGAGCTAGTCATTATGCTGGTTCCAAATAGATCAGTGAAGTGGTGAATTACTGAAGAACTGAAGTGCGGATAAAGACGTGAATATGAAAGCGATCTTCGTAATAATAATATAACTTTCATATATTCACAGTCGTGCATATTCCAATTTGGCACGGGTCAATAATACGGTTTAAAAATCTTTCGTCACGAATTAGGGAAAACGTCGGTGATAACAAGTGTGCGCGACACGAAAAACACGTTCTATATTTAAATCTCCTAAATTCAATACGCTTTAATTGCATCATCTGAATTAAAATGGTTTTTCCGTCGTTCGTCGGTTACCTTTGCCATGTCTTCTTACAAATAACCCTTAGTCCCTTGTGTTTGGATTCTGAGAATTGCATCAATTTACAAAGTAAGAGGGTGTTATCAAAAATATAACGTCGCCCTACTCTTCGTATCGACAATGATATCCGAAGATTACCGAAAATAGGCGAAAGACTTCGGCTCTAGTTACGAGGCAGCTGATCGCGGCGACGAAACACTTTATTATCACAAGGTCGAGATGCGACGAGGCAACATGTAATAACATTTGAATATCTTCTGGCTGGGGTACGTTTGTTTAGTCTATTTCTAATGGAGTGTAAAAACGTCCTATTACTTTTCGTTTTTCAAAGTATTACTGCTTTTTCAACTGAAGAAAAATCCATATCAGCTTCTCATTCATCATATTTTGAAACGCACGGAAACAAGCAGCTTTTGGGATATGTTGTCAAAAGGTTTGATTCTCCCAGTTTGTTATCGTGCGGTCATGAATGTCTGCGAAATTCGTGGTGTACCTCCACGAACTTCAGGTTAGGTTCTTCCATGGAGGAAGACGAAGGGATTTGTGAATTGAACAAGCATAACATCTCTGTGATTAACGACGACACCCACTTTGCTGAACAGGAGGGAATAACTTTCTCAATTCTACTAAAGGTAATGAAATGTATGTTGTTATCGTCCATATCACATATGCAAACAAGTCATAACAATATGAGAGTGAAATGTCTTTGGGCAAAATTGTCATTTCTAGAATCATTCGAACAATCAGTGATTGTGCCTTCCATTTTTGCTGCGGGATTTCTCCATGTTTCTTTTGGATTGTTTCATTCATTTGCATCCGAAAGAATTAAATTTAATTAACAACGAGGTGTTATTTTGCCAATGCTTTAAGAAGTAAACAGTTTTTTGGGAAGCAAACAGGTTTTTTTTATACGAATTTTGGAAAGTATGGATGGAAATCTGCTCAAAATCTGACATCAAGAATGGGTGAAATTTTTTCGGATCTTTGCTTATTTGAAGTTTTTTTTCTCGGTCTTTTAAAGACCATTATACTTCTACTGTCCCTAATTTTGCTAAATTTCAATGCAACCTTTTTGAAGTAATATCTACCATTGTCTTCCTAAAATAGACCAGTTCATTATCACCTTTTTCGCATCGTCTGACAAGTTCTTCTAAGTAGAATCATATACACTTTATTATTGTAATAATTCCATTAAGTCTTTTAAGATAGCAAATACAACATAAAGCTTGGGTTTGAAAAACTTCAAACCCAAACATTTGTTATCTATGATTCTTTTAAATTGAAAGAACTATGTCTCCTGAGGATTTTAGCAAAAATTTGATCTCTCGGCAATAAAAAGGCTTCAGGATTTTAGCGCACGGTTCTCTTGTTTACCTCCTAATGCAAATTTCTCGCGAATGTGTTAAAAGTAATAATTTTCTTCTAAATTTCTAGCTTAATATTTGGTTCTTTGAATCAAAATTACCTTTTGTGGAGTGTATATAACATTTTACGATGATTCAGCTGCTTAAAAATCAAATCGTGAATGAAAAGTCACCAGACCATGATTTTAACTCAAAATCAGTTTTATCACAACGGATTTTTTTTACACAACTTTTTATTGTGGTTATTTTTCGTTGACAGGGATGTCTTATTGAAATTTGCCTCAACGGTGGTTCTTGCTTGCCTAACGAGAACAAACAAACTTTTTCATGCTTTTGCGAAAAACATTGGACAGGAGACAGATGTGAAATTAAGACAGGTAGCATTTATCTATTTCTTGCTCGTAACGTTTAATTTGGAAAAAGGAATAATATATTTGATAGAGGTGTGAATCGTTGCATTGGAAAAATTACCAGCGATTGTGAACTTATAAGCTAATATTTTGCTGATTTAGGTTTCTTCAGCTGGCAATATCTAGTGCTGTAGTTTTACTTCATTTGAAAACCCACGCGTACTTTAATAGCTCGGCGTGTTTTTTTCTTTCGTCCATTTAGCTGCCTTATGGAACTCGTCTTGCAAGGGAATCTATAACAAGAATTTGTAAGTCTATGACTTTACTTAAATTGTCTTATACTTTCAATTGTTAAAAAAAATTTTATCACTGTAATCAGATGTTGATGGATTTAACACTTCTGTGAATATCAGAGACACTGAAAATACCTAAAGAAAAAGGGTTAATTAGCTAAATTGTTTCAAATTGTAAAATAAAGGGGGTAAATTTCTGAACAAAATGTAGTGTTGCGTCGATGGGGGTTGGGGGTTGGGGAGGGGAATTACGAAGTAGTTCGGTTCTTTAAACTGAGTCGATAACGTCCTCATACAAAGGGCTAACGCTTAAAAGGTCAGTTTAGAAACTCTGTGCCCAATTCACAATGTCAACTCAGTTGATAAAAACAAATTCTTCGACTTATGGAACTGACCGTAGGTTTGCTAGTATATCGAGGGTTTTATCACTTGTGCTTTATTCTATCAGGGGCATACAAAACAAAGCCTATTTATTGCAAATTGGTAATCAGAGCATTTGGGTGTACTGTCACATGAAAGGGCTTGGCAGATGCGATGGAAATGGTTGGACGCTGGTCATGAAGATGAATGGCTCAAAGGTATACTCAGCTTTCATTTTAAAAGGCAAGAAACTTATGCAAGCCATGTTACAGAAAATTAAGACATGCCCTGCCTATAAAATGCACAGGGAATAAAAATGCTGCATGCAAAATAGAAAAGACTGAATTTCAAGTTTATCAGTAATCTTCTCGCATCCTTCCATTGATATGTGCGTCTGGGATCTGTATTCCAGTAGAGATTTCCTGAATTGCATTTCCCTCGACCTAGACGCGTAACCTAACGGAAGATACCCAAGCTAACACTGGCAACAGTCTGATGGCATTTGCCTAGGGATATTCCGGCTAGTTTAAAATCTTTTCTCATGATGCTAACGATGACCGTATTCTTTAGCAAAAGTTGAGTGTATTTTGACGATGTTTAAACAGACGCGAGGAGACTTAAGTTGTTTTTTCACAAACTCGCTCTCAATAGTTTACACCTGTTTGCGAATGAAAGCTGTTTTTAAACCTTTTGCTCTGCTCACTGTATAAAAAATAATATATGATAATTACATAAACCTCCATTTGGCCTGGAAATAAGCTGGAAATTTGTTCTTGGATATCACCTGTTCCTGCTTTGCTATTGGTTAACTGTTCACTTCTCGGAACAGATTATATTTACGGGCGAATAAATCCGTGCTTATTTGGGCGCCAAATGGAAAGCTATCCTTACACGAAATTTAGTGAGAATTATGTTTGTACTGATACCCAGAGGACGTTCCATTACGATTCCAACCTGTGGATCAACAAGGATACCCTTAATCTTGAAGGAGGGAAGTCTGGGTTCGACTTACAAGAGACCAAATTACCGACTTATTGGAACACACCATTCACCAAAATCTGTCTTGGTATGAAGATCGACGGTCACATTAGGTACGTAGCCATTGCGAGGCAGGCGAAGTCTCTCTACTCACTGATCGCTGATGGCGAATACCGTGCAACCTCATTGGGTCGTGACACGTGGAAGTGGCTGATTGGTTCTAAGGTTTCATTGCAGCCCAATTGCAACAAAGAAGGATTTAATGTAAAACAAACGTCTGAAAACAGGGGTAACCTGATTTGGCCCAAAGCAAGGATTGGAATTCTGGGTAACGGCCAAAATAGCTGCGCTACCTGTGATTCTAGAATTGGGTTTGGTTCTGGAGGACATGGCGACGATAATAACACATGTGGCAACGAAGCTGCCAGAAATAGCGGTGACACGCATATCAAAGCGATGGGATATATCTTGGTCCAATGAAATCATAGTTCGTATTGTTTACAGGAAGGTACTGTGCGTATTTTTGGACATGAGCGTGCACAACATTCAATAGTACTTCAATCACTTTGATCTAACAAACCGATATAACCTTCATACCCAGTCATCATATCTGAACACAAACAGCAACAAACGTACACGTTAAGGAAGCTCTCAAAACATAAATCAGAACACCGTTGTTCTCAGCTTCGATTTAAGCCAGCAAAAAGGCATTCGCTGTTAGTGCTGCAGGAAGAAGCGTTTCTCCACCTGCGGGAAAATTGAGACGAGTCGAAGAGAAGTCTGCTGGGGGTCTAGCACCTAGTTACCTATAGCCTACTAACTCTACTGTTTGAAGAGGGATTGGGAGGGCGACAGAATTTTTATTAATACTCCTGGTTTTTATATAGTTAATTATGGTCACTTCCTTTGCGCATGCTCAGTTTCATCTTTTCACTTTGTGCCAAAAGTTCTACGTGTACGGTGGGACCACCTTCTTTCAAAAAAGACCAAGAGATTATTTCATAGAGGTGCCTAAAACGGCAAATTATGCATCTATTTAACACTTAAATCAATAGCTAAGAACCAGAAAGTTCCTTCAGCATTTTGCAATTTTTGACTTTGTTCTGTCAAATAAAAATGATGATAGTTATCACGCACTGGATCTACTTTTTCTCCGACCGTGTGGATCAAGTTTATGCCAAAGCGAGACATGTGTTGTTACAGATAGAGTGCGATAGCTCTCGATAGCAAATGAGCGGCAGCTGTTTTATTACGACGTACGGCAAGTGTTATTACAAAGTACCACAAGTATTATTACAGTGTGACAAGTGTTATTGCAAAGTGTGACAAGTGTTATTGCAAAGTGTGAAAAGGGTTATTACGAGGTACGACAAGTGTTATTACAAAGTAAGACGTGTTGTTGAAAAGTACGATAAGTGTTGCTACCAAGTCCGACAAGTGTTGTTACAAACTGCGCCAAGTGTTATCACAAAGAGGGAGAAGTGTTTTCTAACAAAAAACGCAGCAGGTGTCATTATGAGGTACGACAAGTGGTACTCCACAGGGTGACAAGTATTATCACAAAGTGTGACAACTGTTCTACAGATTGCGATAAGTGTCATAACAAAGTGTGACAATTTTCGAAGAAAGCACAACGACTGTTTAGAACAGACTTTAAAAATCGTATATTTAGCCATTGTAGCCGAATTCTTGGAAAATTATACAGGAGGGGATCGGTCGGGGGATCGGGGCAGCAGCGACGGAGGGGGGAGGGGGAAGGGATGTACAACACAAAAGAGGTTTCAATTTCAGGTAGACTATATGACAGGTAAGGATTTCAAATGTTCCGCTACAGAAAGAACCATACCAACCAAAACAAATTCACACAACAACGAAAATCCCGACTCCAGCCAACTTATCCACGAGTTTAAGCCATAGGGTAAATACAATGCTTTTTTTTCTCCAACTCTTCACCGCAAATGTCAAACTTTATTGAAATGCGGCTTTATTCGCTGTTTTAACCATTTCTTGCTTTTTAGTATAAACGTAAATATTTGAAAAAAATGGAGCTCTTAAAAAAAGCTTACGTAACTGTGTGATCACGTTCGTATCGCCGATGATCTTAGTAGCAATAGTGTCGATTGGAAATATCTTATTCATTCTGCTCTATGGACGAAAAGCTTCATTTATTGATTTATTTTATTTTTTCAATATTATCTCTTTTTTTATGATGAGGCGATGATGGAGCCATGCAGTTTTATCTGCAAACCCTTATAAGTAGAATAAACAGAACGACGGCATCGCTGTACGTGCCTGAAAACGATTTTCATGACTAGCCCGAGCAAAGGCCTTTCGAAAACTCTTTTACTCGAAGTTCTAATATCGGCTGCGATGCGCAGCGGCAAAGTATTGCACCTTTTCTTTCTGAGCGTTTTCTTCTTTAATTTTAATAAAAAAAGCTTACGTAACTGCGTGATAACGTTCATATTGCTCTGTTTTTAACGTCGGTGATCTTTGAAGCAATATTGTCGATAGGAAAAAATCTTCATTCTGCTCTATAGACGAAAAGCTTAATTTATTGGTTTATTCTCTATTTTTAATATTATCTCTTTTTTTGTGATGTGGCGATGATGGAGCCATATAGTCTTATATGCAAGCTCTTATAAGTAGAGTAAACAAAAACGACAGCATCGCTGTACGTGCCTGAAAACGACAGCTGCACGAAGATTACCGATCATTGCCGAGCCGCCACCCGCATTATCAACACGTACATTATTCACAGATTTTCATGACTAGTCCGAGCAAAGGCCTTCCGAAAACTCTTTTACTCGAAGTTCTAATATCGGCTGCGATGCGCAGCGGCAAAGTATTGCACCTTTTCTTTCTGTTCCACTCAAGCACCGTTTTCTTCTCCGAGGGAAATTCGGAATCGGATCCTCGTTCATCATATTTCAAAACCCTGAGGAATAAGCAGCTATTGGGTTATGCTGTCAAAAGATTCAGTTCTCCCAGTTTGCTGTCTTGTGGTCAGCGATGTTTGATGGCGTCGTGGTGTACCTCCACAAACTTCAGGTTGTTTTCCGAGAAGGATGGCAGAGGAACTTGTGAACTGAACTCACACAACATCTCAGTTTCCAACGAAAACATCAACGTTGAGGACCGGGAGCAAGTTACTTTTTCACTACGCCTTAAGGTGATTTATTTGTAGTATCTCAATTTAAAAAAGAATTATACAATATACTTCTTCTTTCGCTGATCGAGTTTACCCCATTTAATTTTCAACTTGCATAAAAACCGAAAAAATGCAACCATGGTTGAAAACCGATAACTTTAATGATCCTTATCGCCTTTTCAGTCTTTAGGATAAAATCGCAATTTCCTGATAAAAGAGATTATTGCCTTTCAAGGCGAACAATATAGATTATCAGGGTTTTTAATCATCGCTGTGTGAGTCCTAAAGCGCTAAAAGCTTATGGGTTGACCCAAAATAGAAGTCGTACGAATATCCTTCATGAACCAATTATCACTTCTCTACTAGAACCAACCCGAGGGTCATTTTGAATGTTTGCTTTATTTTTGCGAAAAATTTCGTTTGTGTTTGTGATGAGGTTTGTATGATAAAAAGTAAACAACACTGTGTCTCTGTTGAAATTAGAACGTTTGATGAATACATTATTTTCTTTTCATTTCTATGTCACACAGTTTTCATCTTTGCATGTAAATAATCATTATTACAAAATTCAGATCGGACATCCTGTCAGCAAAACCTTTTGTTTTTTATTTTTTTTTTTCCTTTTAAATATTCCGTGGAAATAGTGTTTCTACGATCGTGTGCATATCATAATTGAACTTACTTTAAAAAACAAATGGATTATTTAAGTTGAAGACAGGTGTTCTCAACCATTATGTTTGTTCACGCGTTGGTTCTTTTCATCTTGGATGGTTTGGTTCCAGTAATCAACTCCTTTTAAACGAAAAAAAAAATTCATAGTGGTGAGAATTTTAACATGCACTCTCAGCATTGACGTATACAGACAAAGGCTAACAATTATGACGTCATTGGTCAAGGTGACAAGTTTAACGGCTTCAAGAAGCAACAAATAACACAGCTGAATTTTCCCCGCACAGCATGGTTTTTTGAGAACAAAATAATCAAAGCTTGTTCCGAAAGTCAGTCATCAGAAATTCACAAAAAAATACAAACCAAAGAAAAATTATCACTTTTTTTGTCCTCAATGTTTTAAATCGGAACAAAGCACCTTAACAGCAATTTCAATTCAGCCCAATATAAGCAAATCCTGAAAACTTATCACTTTTGCACGGACTTTGATATTGCTAAGGCTGTGGGACATTTTTAATTATTAGAACTGCGACTGCGACTACCCATTTAGTTCATCATCTGCGTGCTGGAGGGGGGTATAAGGAATCTCTGTAGAGCCTCATTGATCAGCCGCCCACCGCTCACTGCTGCGTGGTGGGGGGTCGGTATTAATTTTTACCGTGGTTAAACATTATTTAGTTTCAATCGTTTTAAATCTGAAACATTCTTAACACTCTAAACAGCTTCAATATGATTTCTTCACAGACAATAAGGTTTCTATAAGGCGATAATATTGGCAGCAATCGTTGCTATTCATTCAATTCAATGTTTTTCGTAACTTCTGAAGCTGTTTACCGTGATTCCAGTCGGGGGTTTGAAAAAGTCACAAAGTTTAAAGTTCTTGTCGTAAATAGGGTCTGGATTTGAAGCCTCAGAGTCACAACCTTGCCCAAGCCTTTTGAAAAAAAGAGAGAAAATGTTTGCCATCCTCAATCGGAGGGGGTTGGATCCCGTGATTTCGATACTAAGCTCAGTTATTATGAATTCCTAGTTTAGATTTTGTCTCTTATGTTGTCCATTTTTGTTTTCAGGGTTGTCAATTAGCCTTTTGCCTCAATGGTGGTTCTTGCTTGCATGAAAAGGAAAACCAAACCTTCTCATGTTCTTGCCAATATCCTTGGACTGGCGACAGATGTGAAAATAAAATGGGTAATCATGACTTTAATCATAAAGAAAGGCAAAATATTTTGAGTTATGCTTTTCATCTTTTTCAATATACGATTCAATAACCTTACATCAGCCTCAGAGATTTTTAGGTGAGTAGTTAGCTGGCAGACAGTGGGAGGATCATTCTCTATGAATAAAGATGTGGAAGAGATGAATTTAGTTCATAATGGCACCCAATATGAATTAAAGATGCCGGCTGAGGTATAGTTGAAAAAAGTTTGACTTTGAGTCACGCATTGAATTCAACTATTTCATTTCCCTTCGTCTTCCAGGGAACTCCACGTGCAAGGAAATTTATCATAACAAACTGTAAGTAAGACGTAGAGCATTTCAATAACCTGAACACTATTAGTAGTAGCTTCTTCCAGCATCAAATGACAAAATTTGGTCAGTCTGAGTTAAAAATCCCAACAATTTTTATAATCCAAAAACGCCAAGGTTTTTTTGGTGACTACAATCCTTGAGGAAGACATAATATTTTAAAACTCCAACCTCCTTTTTTTCTTGAAATAATTCAAGTTGAAAGCTAAATAAGAGAAACTAGTATGCGACTACAGCCACAGCCAGTCGTCAATGAATTTTTCGCCTACAAAAAAAATAACATATTAATAATTTCACAGCATAAGCAAAGAAAAATAAAAAAAAGGCGAGTTACATGTTCCTAGAGTTTTGTACTTTAACGTCACTAAGCCACTCTTATGTATATACCTCATTCCTTTTTTTTGTGAAATTTCTGTCTCATTTCTTTTAGGGCTGACGGGAATAAGGCCTATTTATTACAAATAGGTTCTGAAAAGGTCCCTGTGTACTGTCACATGACAAGTCTTGGCGAATGTGGTGGATATGGATGGACGCTGGTTATGAAAATGAATGGCTCATTAGTATGTACTCAGGTCTTGTATGGCTCTCAGGTCTTGCGCGAGATGTTCAGTAAAAATAGTGAACTGCTTTTACGATTTCCCATCGCTAGAACAAAACTACTTTTGGCGTTCCAAGATTCGTTTGCTTCATTTATTTAGATCTCATTAGAGCTTTTTCATTGACACTGAAAACAAACAAAAGCCACAATTCGGGGTCTTGCGATCCTATGTTTGTTTTCGTTAGAGTCGGAACAGATTATGGACCAGTTTCGATATACCTGAATAATCTTTTATTTTTACATCCTTCTACATTTGAAAATCATGATTCACTCAGGTCTTGCGCCAGGTAAACTTTGTAATTATGAATTAATTTGATCATACCATGTCTAGAGAACGTTCCATTATGATGACGTCCTGTGGAGCAATTACAAACCTTTCAACCTTGAAGGAGGAAAGACTGGGTTTGACTCAAATGAGACAAAGTTACCGACTTACTGGGACACATCCTTCACAAGGATCTGTCTCGGTATGAAAATCGGCGAACAGGAAAACTTTACTGCCATTAACAAGTCGGCGAGCTCGCTATACTCACTCATCGCCGATGGGAAATACCGCGCCACCTCACTGGGTCGTAACACATGGAAGAAGCTGATTGGCTCACGAGCCTCTCTGCAGCGGAACTGCAACAAAGAAGGGTTCAATGCGGTTGGTGAAAATCACTCTCATTCGAAAGCAAGAATCGGTTATATTGCTAACCAAGAAAATGATTGTCGTACTTGTGATTCCAGAATTGGATTTGGTACTGGCGGATATCACGATGACTCCAACACGTGTGGTAACCAAGCAACGCATAACCCAGATAACGGCAACAAAAATATCAGAGCTATGGGATATATCTTGGTGCAGTAAGCTCTTTCCAGGATATCTGGTGGTGCAGCATCGAGATCAATAACAATACCACTTCCGAAATGTATTTGGTAGAGAAGCAGGGAACGGCGGCAGATAAGTTTGACAAACAGTGGGCTAAGCTGTCGATGCAAAGGAACATGTCCTTTAAAAAGATCTGTCTCGGTGCGGCGATCAATCGATATATCAACTGCGCTGTCCCTCAATTGCAGTGATCACTGCTGGTGGATACTTTGAAATCTCTCAGGGTCGTAATATTGTGAAAGGACCTGATGGCCTTGGGTGGTTCTTTGAAGCTGGACTGTGTTGTGGAACTCTCTGAGGCAACATACACCACAATCTAACCAATCTAAAGAAAGTCTTATTTCGATTTGTTTATTTGTTTGCATTTTTTTGGTGATTTCTTCCCTCTTGTTCTGAAGGATATCAAAATGATTCTGAACGAGGAACAAAGAATAAATTATCCAGGACCAATATGGCTCTCTGTACGCAATTATCGCTATTGGGGAACATCACTCCACTTCACTGAGCTATGGAACATCTAACGGAAGCTAATGAGCCGGAAGGCTTCACCATGAATCATTTAAAAAAACGGTTTCACGACTCGTTCATTTCGATTGGCTTAACGTCAGAAAAGGAATATTTGCTAACAACCAAATTAGCGGTCAGCAGATTTGGAGCATGCCATAACGAGTAACTAGCTTTTTACTTTTGCAGATAGCTTAAATCCTTCACAACCACGAATCTCGACATTGTCAGCAAGCATAGAGATCTTTTGTTATTTCAATCGTTATCGTTGCACTTATAGTTGCTGTTATTGAGCCTTATGACTGAATTAAGATTACATTACATCGTGCAACAGACATCCTCTCCTTGGTGATGATAAAACCAAAGCGCGAGCTTTCAAAATGGCTGCTGTACAATTTCATGTACTTGATGCCTTTGCTTCAGCTGCTCTGACAATCGTGCAAGAACTACTATTTTCTTCAGCTTAAGTTAGTATTTGAAATAAATTTAAGAAATCTTCAAGGGGTTATTCATGATAAAAATAATTATTAAAATCTGGATCACTGGTTAATGCAATTCAAGGGTTTTCCATGCGCGCACATGAAGACGAGTTAAACCGAAAGTATTTTTGTACATTTCAATATTTCGTTCGTTCTTACAAAATAAAGTGGGGAATATATATTTTGGGGCCATTTTGATAAAAACAATTATTCCACTCGCACTTGTTGGGTGTAAAACTAGTGATCATAGCCAACTCGGCCCTTCAGCCGCCGTTAGCTATCTATCGTCTCATATCCAACGTGTGCTGGTTGAATAATGGTTAATAACAACAGCTAAATTTGAGAAGAGAGTTTGGTCCTTAAACAATAACGGACTCATAAACGCACAGGGATCGGTGGGGGGGAGTTAGCGCAGTATTTCCTTATGTTTTCAGCGGTTTGCGTGAATACTGAGTTCGTTAAATGCAAACTTTCACGAGAAAAAGAGAAAGTAAATGTACGAGCGTGCGACGCATTTTCAGATTTTTTCTGGTTTTTGAAAGAATCTATGTGTTTAGCTAAGCCTTGTATTAACTACTACGCCATATGTCAAACGTAAATTATGGATAGGTTATGCAAGTGATCTGGGAAACGTCAGTGGCACGAAGATTGTCGAGCACACCTGCAGCAACTCCGATCTCATAACGATGAATAAACTTTGTCGGTCACGTGGTTATCATTTCTAAACATTGTTGGAAGAAGAAAACAATTAATATTTTATTAGAAAGTGTCAAACAATTCAGGAACACTTTTTTTTCCGTTACTGTAAGTGCTGGCCTCCTTTTCAATGGCGTATAACAACGTGATGTTATTTTTCCTTTTTCTAAAATCCACAACGTTGATCGCCAGAGGAAACTCCGACTTAGATTCTCGTTCATCATATATCAAAACACAGGAAAACAAGAAACTCATGGGATTCGTTGTTAAGAGGTTTGATTCTCCCACTTTGTTATCGTGTAGTCGACAATGTCTAACAAATTTGTGGTGTTCGTCGATAAACTTCAAGTTTTCCTTAAAGAAGGACGACAAAGGAACTTGTGAGCTGAACAAGCACGATATCTCCGTTTTAAACGAAAACGTTTACTTTGATGACCGCGATGGAGTCACTTTCTCACTTCTTCTAAGGGTAATTTACCTTTTGTTGCTTTCAGTATTTAAAATAATTATACAGAATTTGTCATCTTTAGCTGAATTAATTCAAAGTAGTTATTTAACTTTCGTAGTATCTTAAAAACCGCAAGGTTGAGCACCTACCCGCAAAAATTGAACAATAACTTTGAAGTAATCCTCAGTTAATCAAAACGAGACACTATATGAAGGTAGAGTTCGGAAAAAAATAAAAGTCATCTAGCCCTAAATAATATTGTAAGCCAAAATTTACCTTTTAATGATAAGACTGAATTTTCAGGCCCTAATTTCGTCAGACTGTTTTGAAGTCAATCCTAATTTCCGGCGTTATCTAGCTATGATTTTTGAGAAGGATAATGCGGTTATTGTGATAGAATCTTCCATTAATTCACTCCTTGTGGCTTAATATATCCTGAAATTAAAGCTTAAGGAGACACAATAGTGCATGATAATTGCAATTTCCCACCTGGGCTCTTTTTGTATGTTAATTGCTTCATTTTCGAAGATATTTTGTTTATGGTACGTGATGTGGTTTGAAGTTTACAGAATAAATTAATAAATTAGAGCATTAGATGAAAAGAACAATTCCCTTTCATAGAACATAAATGACAAACTTCAACTTTTAATTATTTTTGTGTAAAGAAGCTCCTTTTGTAATAAGTTCATTGACAATTTTTCGGGCGATTCGGACATGCTGCCGGAAAGAGAAGAAAAAGCTGCTCTTCCTTTTTTTCATTTCCTACCAAAAAGAATGGCTCTATTGTTATTATACATACGAAAAGAATTAAGTTCCTTGGCAAAATAAATGGATTTTAGTTTACTTTTCGACGGCTGTTCAGAGATCATGTCATGTTAGACCGGCCGGTATCAAAATTCATCTGGCCTCCTTGTAGCTTCTAAATAACGTCTGATACTTCACCATTACACCTTAGAGCCATACCATTTTTGGTATTTTCGTTCTCTAAAGGAAGATATCCCAACGACTCCCGAATTGTTTTTTCGAAATTAGTCAGTTTGTCACCCTTTTCCGCCTGATTTTTCTTGGTGATGGAAATACGGATGTTGTTACTGCATATAGAATGCAAGTAGCATAAAAAGCAGCTTAATTAATGAGATACGGGGCTGAGTGGTTTGGCTTTCTAGTTAATTCAACAGAAGCACGAGAATTCTGTCAAAAGTGTAATTTCATTCCATAAACCTTACGTTGTTCTCCAACAACGACGACTTTGAAGGAACATCCTCGATATCTCTAGATCTGCTGTTGAAGAAAGTGTTAATTCTGAGAGAGCTACATCCACAGTACTCAAGGTGACACATTTCGTCCTAACACAGGCCGTTTGCAAAAATAGCACCGTGAAAACCAGTATTAAAAACGATCAAGTCTTTGTCACTAGTTATTGCCGCTCTAAAAGGATTTCCAGCCTCAATTATGAGTGTTCCCCATATCAATCATTAAAAAGAAACACAATTATTCCAGTCTGCAGCTGCTTCACTACCTAATGCGTTTCGAGACAAACATTTTATTCTTTAAAAAGAAATTTAATTCAGTCAACTTTCTTTGTTATGCTACATTAAATATCGCCACAAGCTTCATAGCAGATATCACATGGATACAATGACGTACTGCTTATCATAACATAACTTCTTTTAATAAAAAAATTTTCTTTTCAAAAGATTTGAATAAAGTCTCAGTTATATTAGTAAACTAAAAAATTAAAGCCCTGCATGGAAAGTAAATTCGCCATATTGAAAAATTCAGTTGCTATGACGATATTGTTCTCTTCACATGCAGCAATATCAATGTTGTGTTCCCTGCGCGCACTGACGATAGCATGTTTAGAAACAGGAGAAATTCTGGTTTGCTGGGTAGCTCAGCCTGTTAACCATCACGTTGACCGTTTGCTAGCCAAGGGAGGATAAATTATCATCTCTTACGAGCGATTTATATTACGAGTGTTCTTTATATTCGCTAGGGATGTCAGATGACCAGTTGCCTTAATGGTGGTTCCTGTCTTCCCGACGAAAAAAGGCAAACATTCTCGTGCGCTTGCCAACAACCTTGGATCGGGGAAAGATGTCACGTGATTAGTCTTGGCGCATGCGGTGAGGGTGAATGGACGCTGGTTATGAAAATGAACGGTTCACAGGTATATAGCTACAATTTTAGTTCCAAATTATTTTAGACTGATAGGCTGTAATGTTCTCAAATTTAACTCGCCATGGACAACGTAAGTGTGCAGGGTTTATTTAAAAGTATTCGCACTGATCCATCAACAACCGTACAAGCGATGCCTAAGATATATAAACAGTAAGGTTTTTTCGGTCTGTTGATGTGACCCTTTCTTGTATATTGTTGCTGATTAGGGAACTTTTCATTACGATTCTAAACTTTGGAGCAACAACGAAACCTTCAATATTGACGGAGGAAAGACTGGGTTTGACTCAGAAGAGACCAAGTTACCGACCTATTGGAACACATCCTTCACCAAGATCTGTCTCGGCATGAAGATCGGACAAAGAATTAACTTCATACTCGTCAACAAGCAGGCTAGTTCCCTCTATTCATTAATCGCCGATGGAAATGGTCGTACGACCTCATTGGGTCGTGACACGTGGAAGAAGCTGATCGGCTCGAGGGCATCATTACAGTCTTATTGCGACCAAGAGGGGTTTAATGTGAAATGTGATGGACCAGGAAGACCGAAAGCTCGCATTGGAATCCTTGGAAATAACGAGAACGACTGTAGTACTTGTGACTCCAGAATTGGGTTTGGTACAGGAGGAAAACACGATGATTCCAACACTTGCGGAAACGAAGCGAAATATGGTAATACACATATTAAAGCGATGGGATACATCTTGGTACAATGAGAGAAGACGAAACGATGGAGATGTGATTCAAAGGTGTATTGCATCCTTCCTTCGTTCAATTTGACATATGTCACAATCACAATGCTGTTCCTAAAGGTCTTCGTTCCCTCAGCAAATGCCTGGAGGACAGGACCCTCCGCTCCGCATCCATTCCACTGAACAGGGGTAAAAGATAGGCCTGAGAATTAGATTATTGTGACAGAACTGTGCTCATTCAGTAAATGGTGCCTATTTCTTTATTGCTTAAGCTCGCCACTGAACGAGACAAATTGTCGTTTTTTCTGAAAAAAGTATGCGGCAACTGACAGTTTTTTGTCGTTCTCTAAATTCATTAGTATCTGTTTTTCTACGAAATAAGGATAGCGAAAGGTACAGCAACTTTTAGGTGGTCAAAAACGCGATTTATAGAGTACGATATTTACCTAATTGCAGGAAATTAACGCTTCATAAATTCACGTGAACTTGGAAATTTTTCGTCGGTATAAATTTTGCTTTTTCGCCTCAAGCTCCCGATTGAATCGAGTTTTATTTGTTTCTTGTAAAATTCATAACAAAAGCTAAATTTTAACTTCTTAACACGGTATAGATACGCTGATATCATAGATTGTAAATAGCACTCGAGTTTTTTGCCCTTGAACTAATAGAGGATAGTTTAAGCTCTCTTGCCTTGAAGCTAAACCACGTAATAAATTCCCTAAGCTCTCAATTAAATCGAAATTTTTTTGTTTTTTTGTAAAATACGCAACAAAAGCTAAAGTTCAACTTTCTGACACATCTTAGATACGCTGGTATCATAGACTGTAAATAGCACTCGAGATTATTGCCCTTCAACTAAGAGAGGATTTGCTCCCATGCCTTGAACCTCGACCATGCGATAAATTTCCCAACTCTCGATTAACTCGAGATTTTTTTTTGTTTTTTTTAAAATTCGTGACAAGAGCTAAAATGCAACATTCTCAGTAACACAGTGTATATATGCTCGTATCATAAACTGCTGGTAGCACTCGAGATTTTTACCCTTGAACTAAGAGAAGATATCGTCTCTTGTCTTCAACCCCCGATTATGGAATAATTCCATAAATTTTTATTTTAAAAACACTGTGTATGTGTTGTGGACTTTTGCAATAAAGTTGTCTTTATACTCAATCTGTTTCTTTTTACTGAGCGTTTATCATTTTGAATCTTTAGAGCCTCTTTCGTATCAATTTCTTTGCTCCTTGACCAATCATTGCTCCAACAATTAAAAGTGCTCTCAGCACAATGTTTGTCTTTGACTCTTTACTGAATACTTGATAAGTGTTTTCAAAATGGTAACTGTAATTTACCACAATATATACTGAATCAATGAAAATTAAGGCGAGGTTATGAAGAGAAGGGTGATCAAAAATTCTTAAAGGTTAAAAAGACCATGACGAATTTAGCTTTTGTGGAAAGACATAATTGGACGAGACGGAGCCTCGTTTTGAAATTAATTATGGCGTCAGAGCGGTTCACAAGTCCTCAAAAGAAGCTGTAAGGGAAAATGATAAACCAATTATACTGAAAAAGTCATCGAAAGAACTAGAATATTGTGAACAGTTATCAGATTTTGTTTGGTAATGAGATTGCCAACGACAACAGAATTTCTGATGTTTTTCTTGTTTCAAACTGCCGCAATTGTCGCCTCGGAAGGGAACTGGAAATCTCGCTATTTTCACTTCAAATTGCAGACAAACACTCAGCTTGTGGGATACGTTGTCAAACGGTTTGATTCTCGCAGTTTGTTATCGTGCAGTCGAGAATGTGTAAAGAATTTATGGTGTTCTTCCACAAACTTCAAGTTGTCTTCCGAGAAGGATGGTGAAGGGGCTTGTGAACTGAACGAGCACGACATCGCTGTTGTTGATGAACCCATCAAGTTTGTTGACCAGAAGGGAGTAGTTTTCTCACTACTACTAAAGGTAATTTAGCTCCTACGAGATTTTTATCTTAAGAAGTGCACTTTACAAAAGCATCATCATCTTAAGTTCACGTTTGATTTTACCGGAACTTTTTAATCACTGTTGACTTCCATCGCTTGCTTGGAGCCTCAGTACTATTGTCGTAGAAAGCTTACTGAGTTCTTGCCTTCCAAACTGTCTAGGATGCAATTGTGGACATTTTTCTTTTGGCAATGTGTTTACAAATTTTCAAAGAAAAAATTATTTGATGAAAAAGAGAAAAATGATTTTTGAATAATGGTGACCGATATGAGAGTAAATCTTTCATTCAAAAATTTCATTTACAATAAAAAAAAACTTCATAAAGCATCCCATTAAGTAAACCTTTTGTTTGTAGAGCACCTTTTCTCATATTTGATTTAATAAGTTTAACCGAATCTTTACAGCTTGTAAAATAAACAATAATCCATCGTTATATGTTCTTTGAAATTCCTTTGACATTGAAAGGTTTAATTAACACCCTTGTATCTCTCCTTTTCTACCGTTTCTTTCACTCCCTTATTTTTGGAATGATAATGATCAAGGATAAAGACTGGCGCCGCTGACTTACATCAATTGGAAACACGAAAAGCGATGAAGCTTGCTCACAGCGGGAGGACTTTGGAGAGCTGGACTCGCAAGTTGTTTTGTCCCGATTTCCTGCAAGTGCATCCTTGAAACCTCCTTGTGTTTCTCGTTCGAATAACTTCGGCCTAGCTACCTTTGAGTGCTATTTAAACACTGTCGAGAGTAAATAGATGTCTTTTTTTCAAAAGAATAGTGAGAAATAAAAAAATTTTTAACAATTATTAGAACACAAATAAATCCAGCGGAAATACAGTGGAATACAAAAATTGGAAATTTTTGGACCTCTCCGTTTCTTGAAACTCATGGATTAATAATAAATTTAACACTGATAAGGCGTATATATTCATTTATATATACTCATATTATCATTCAAGCCTTCTTCCCAATAATATATGTATTCAATTATTTGAATCATTTTCTTTTCCACCGTATTTTTTAAAAAAATTCTATAACAAGTTCTTTTCTTAATCACAACTTTTTGTAATATTGTTATGATATATCATATTTCAATGTTGTTTCATTTGATTTCCTTTAGGGATGTTTGTTTTCTGGCTGCTTCAACGGAGGTTTGTGTTTGCCCAACGGGGAAAAACAAACATATTCATGCTCGTGTAAGCTTCCTTGGACCGGAGACAGATGTGATATTAAAATGAGTGCGTGATTCTAAATTTTCTTCATAAATGGATCCTAAACTTTGCTTAAAAATACGAAGCGAAATTAGTAACTTACCATAGATGTTCCAAACCTCTGGTTTTGGAGAAAAAAAAACGAAACAAAACAACAAGGAATCGTGATTTAAAGGAAAAGGCGACACCGAGTCAAAAAAAGGAACAAATAATTACAGTTCAATATACCCCGGATGATAAGATTGCTTGATTGTGAATTCGAAGTTAAACTATGCTCTTGTTGTTTTTAATATTTCAGCGGCAACGACATGCAAGGAAATATATGACAACAAATTGTAAGTTATACTCTAGAAATATTTATATTAACACTTCTCTTCCGATATTCTTCATTTAAATCTCTGGTCTGATAAACACATCTTGTAATAATAATTTACCATTACATTGTATTTTTAAATGCTGTAAAAAAAGCCATCATCGTGCTCATCTAAAACATTTAGATATGCCCAGAGAATAATATTAGCTTTTAGCCAAATTCTCATTCAGCCTACAGTTTTTTTTCCTTTTATTTGCATTTCCAGTGCCAATGACAACAGAGCTTACCCCCTACAAGTGGATTCTAGGAGTTTTCTTGTTTATTGTCACCTAACCAGCCTTGGCGCATGCGGTGAAGGAGGCTGGACGCTGGTTATGAAAATAGATGGCTCTAAGGTGCATACCTGGTTGTTTGTTTTGCTTATCTGTTTGTCTGTTTGTTTATAAGTTTTTTTAAACAGTTTTGTTTTGTGTTGTTATTATTGTTTTATTGCAGTAAAAGCATCACTAACTACACTGAACATGATTACATCATCAAGAGATATTAGAAAATTATATCATTCCATAAACAACTTCAAAGATAAACATTCTCAAATAATTTATCAAGTCAAAGTAAATGGTATTCCGGGAGTAAAGTTAATTGGCTGGTGGTTTGCTGGAATATCTTAGACGAGTTTAAATAGACAATGAATGGGATGTCCACGTAACCAAAATTTGCGATTCAGGGTGGGTTACTTCAAGATCCTCCCGGGATCTCTTAGAATAAGAATGCTCTGAGAAAAGGACTGGGGGAGAGGTAGTGGCATAAGGGTTAGTGCGCCGAGATCCGGATCGAGAGGTCTGGGATCGACACCTGACAGGGTAATTGGGCTGTTTTCTCTGACAACACACTTTACTCTCACAGTCTCTCTCTACCCAGGGGTGGAAATGGGTACCGGCGAGGAAGGAGTCCTGATGAAATGCTGGGGGGTAACCTTGCGATAGACTAGCATCCTATCCAGGGAGGGAGGGGTGATACTCGTAGTTGATTCTTACCATGAAAACCGGGATAAACATAAGCTACGGCTGGGTGGGCCTCATGGCCCAAGTATGGACTAAGGAAAGGACTATTTGATAGTTTCAATCTCTTGCTGTTATTATCTCTCATACCTTTTGTTGATCACCAGCTAACTTTTCATTACGATGCAAATATCTGGAGCAATAAGGAAACCTTGAGCCTGGATGGCGGAAAGACTGGCTTTGACTCACAGGAGACCAAGTTACCGACTTATTGGAACACATCTTTCACAAGGATCTGTCTCGGTATGAAAATCAGTGAACAGAACAACTTCATTCCTATAGACAAGTCGGCTAGCTCACTGTATTCACTAATCGCAGACGGAACATACCGCGCTACTTCCCTGGGTCGAGACGCGTGGAAGAAACTGATTGGTTCACAGGCCTCTTTGCAGCTCAATTGCAACAAAGAGGGGTTTAATGTTCGTAGTTTCAGATATGACAGGTCTAAGGCAAGGATTGGAATTATTAGTAATAACGAGAATGATTGTCGGAGTGCAGATTCAAGAATTGGTTTTGGAACTGGGGGCTCCCCTTCCAACGAACTCACTTGTGGAAATCGAGCCAGATTTGCAGACGATGATAATGGCGACAAATTTATCACAGCCATGGGGTATATTCTAGTGCAGTGACACCGTATTCCAAAGAGTCCAGCTCCTAATTAACACTTTGTACCCAAACGTTTTTTGTCATCTCAGTATGTACATAGAATGACCGAGACAATAAAATGGTATATATTGCTTTGAGAAGGAAAACTGAAGAAAATTATGCTTCCAAACAAATGCAGTGAGTTTTTCTTGAAAACAAGAAAAAGGACGGGACGAGTGTAAGAGCCTTTTTTGGATTAGAGCTTAGGGTCTTCAGTTTTCAGTTAGACATTCGGCCGGCACAATGCAACCTGGCGAGGGGGACAAGGTTTAATTCATACCATTATCATTTATATCATTTTCAGGGAGGAGGCTGAATTTGTGGTAGTTTTAGTCATGCAGTCAGACGATCAGAGAAGGTGATCTCTATAGTGACCCTTCTTCTACTAGCGTTAGTCGTTTCGCCCAGAATTCGTCGCGGTCGTCTTCGGACCCTGCCAGCATGACCCTTCTCTTTCCGCTCGCTCGGTGATCGTGTTGAAGCCAGGTTTTCAAAAACAATGAATTAACGCAGACGATAAAAACACCTTTCCTAAATATTTCAATCTAACATTCTTCACTTCCGAAGCATGCAGAGCAGCAAATGATTAGAATTTCTCTATAACTTGCCAAATTTCCACAACAGAACTAACAGTCTGACGAAAGTATAAATAAGCAATGAACATATACAGCATTCAGTTCTAAAACTCATTTTAAGGTTCTTTAAGGTTCAGGTCTCTATTGACTTTGGATATCTACTCATAAGACATATGTAGCTTGATATATGAGAAAGTTAAAACGAGAGTTTTTTCGATAAAACAAGGTACTTTGCTAAAGCAGCTTCACCAAAACAACAAGAAGATCAACTGTTTCAGATCACTTTAATTTTTGGCAATATATCATTAAGAACAAGACTGAGCTGTGCGATGTAAAACAATCTTCTTTATACCAATCAAGTTTTGCATGTGATCGATCGATCTTTCTTTGACCCAAATGTCACAAATTAATATGATTGGGGACAGTGCTATGTGTAAATTCCTTCTAACGAAGATATGGTAGATTGATCCATAAGCTCAAGTTATCTATAGCTTTCCCGGTTTTTTTTTTCGGCAAAAAAAGATCTGCTTTGTTAACGCTCAATTCAACGTTCTGCAAAGACAAAAAAAACTCTTAAAGATGTCTGTTTGGAAGACAGAAAAACATGATGTTGCACTTTCTATTTGTAAGCCGTTTGACGTCAGATCATATTTAGATAAACAGGAAGATTTTGTTTTTTACAATTAATCACGGCTTCTGAGAGGGATGTGTATAATAAGTACCTCCGTAAGCAACATAACTGTTTTGCCGAGCAATGAAACATCTCACAAAATAGGTCTATCGATTTAAAGATGTCGGCTGATGTTATGCAAAATAATCCCAAACTATGCTTGCGAACCATCAAATAGTATTTGTAGAGGGAGATATTAGTTTGTCTAGCTAGAGTGTGCTTATCAGTAAGGTTCTTGTTTAAAGCCGCACCATACTTTAAGACAGAGATATGAATTCCGGTTTCTAAGTTGAAACGACTGCCACACCCTAACCTTATCAAACAAATCTGGTGCACAGAAGACAAAGGATTTCAATGGAAGGGAGCTTACTAACACAATATCCCATGCAAAAATAGTCAAAGATCAATACAGCTGCCGTAATTTCTTCCGCCATACACACCTTAAAACCGATACAATAAGCCCACTGAGCGAGTAATGACGTTAGTACCACAACCTCAATGGCAATTTGCCACCCACGCAAAGACTACATTCATAGCAGAAGATATAATGCGATTAGAAAAGAGTTCTAGAGTGTTGGATTAACCAATCTGTTGGAACCTGTTCTTACTTGGTTGATCAATCGTAGAAAGATTCTAGCCGGATGCAAGATAGGTTTTGTCTTCATGTATCCCTTGCAGCGATAGAGAAGAATGTGGCAAGACAAAAGCAAACAAAAGAAATAAGGAAAAAGGCCAACCGCAAACGAATTAGTCGTCATTCTGATATCGTCGGAAACAAATTGTATATAAAGTTCTTTGCTGAATCACAACTTTTTATTATATTTTTATGATGTATCACATTTCAATTTTAATTCATTTGATTTCCTTTAGGGATGTTTGTTCTCTGGCTGCCTCAACGGAGGTTCGTGTTTCCCCAATAAGGAAAAACAAACACATTCATGCTCGTGTAAGCTTCCTTAGACGGGAGACATATGTGATATTCAAATGAGTACGTCATTCTAAATTTCTTTCAAAATAAATCCTAAACTTTGCTGAAAAATGCGAAGTGAGGTTAATAGCCTACCATAGATGTTCCAAACTCTGGCTTTAGAAGAAAAAAACAGCAACAAGGAATAACGATTTAAAGGAAAAGGCACCGAGTCGAAAAAAGCAATAAATGATTATAAATCAACATTGCCAGGATGATAACATTGCATACTTGCGTATTAGAAGTAAGAGCACACTCTTCATGTTATTAATCTTGCAGCGGCAAAGACATGCAGGAAATATACGACAAGAGACTGTAAGTTACATCCAAGACATATTAGTATTATCACTGCTCGTCCGATGTCCTTGATGACAATTTCTGATCTGATATGCAGTTCTTGTAAGAACACTTTCCCATTCTATTTTTTCTATCTAATACTGTAAACAAGTAATCATCGTGGTCATCAAAGATGGCAAAAGCGTAAGAGCATACTGAAAGCGAGAAAGTTAAACAGTTTGAGATTACAACGGAATAGAATTTGCTTCTAGCCAAATTCTTATTCAGCCTACAGTCTTCGTTTTTTTTATTTGCATTTCCAGCGCCAAAGAAAACAGCGCTCACTCCCTACAAGTGGATTCTGGGAGTTTTCTTGTTCATCTTCACCTAACCAGCCTTGGCGCATGCATATATGCCCTAGTCATGAAAATAGATGGCTCTAAGGTGTATACCTGGTAGTTAGTTTTGCTTATCCGTTTGTTGGTTTGTTTATGGGTTTTTTCTAATAGTTTTGTTTTCTGTTGTTATTAAGATTTTATTGCAGCAGAAGCATCACAAACCACACTAAACATGACTACATCATCAAGAGATATTAGAAAATTATATTATTCTATAAACAACTTCAAAGATAACCATGAAATGATTTATCAAGTCAAAGTAAATAGTATTCCGGGAGTAAAGTTAATTGGCTGATGGTTTGCTCGAATGTCTTAGACGATTTTAAATAGACACTGAATGGAATGTCCACGTAACCAAAATTTGCAATTCAGTGTGGGTTATCTCAAGGTCCTCCTGGGATCCCTCAACAAAGGGGGGTTTAATATTCGTAGTGCCAGATATGACAGGTCTAAGGCAAGGATTGGAATTATTGGTAATAACGAGAATGGTTGTAGGTGTGCAGATTCAAGAATTGGTTTTTGGACTGGGGGCTCCCCTACCAACGAACTCGCTTGTACTCGCTTGCTTTTTAAGTTATTAAAATGGACTGAATTACATTTTAATGAGAATTTTAACTTTTAAAAGGTTTAATTGATTCATAAAAAAGCAAAGATTGGAGTGGCTTTGAGTATTCCAGCCCTGATTTCTCTTCTTGAATGCCGGGACGACGTATCGAGTCATTTGAAGCACTACCAGCTCTCCAGCGAAATGAGACCAGCTGGCATAATTTACCAAGGGACTCAAACTCCAGTTTCAGGATTCATCGAACGTCGTTTCAAAGTTTTAAAACCCACGAGTTTCGCGACAAAAGAAAGTAAATGCCTTTCAGGTAGATTTTAGTGAGTGTCCTCTCAGTGCCCTCTCAAGTGTTCTGATGTTTAAAACATACCAATAACTGTTTTATTTTTTCCATTTTTTTTTGTTAACGCTCAGTTCAACGTTCTGCAAAGACAAAAGAAACTCTTAAAGATGTCTGTTTGGAAGACAGAAAAACATGATATTGCATTTTCTATTTATAAGCCGTTCGACGTCAGATCATACTCAGATAAACAGGAAGGATGTGTTTTTTGCAATAAATCACGGCTTCTAAGAGGGATGTGTATAATAAGTACCTCTGTAAGCAATATGACTGTTTTGCAGAGCAATGAAACATCTCACCAAATAGGTCTATCGATTTAAAGATGTCGTCTGATGTTATGCAAAATAATTGCAAATAATGTGTTTGTGAACCATCAAATAAAATTTGTAGAGGGAAATATTAGTTTGTCTAGCTGGAGTGTGCTTATCAGTAAGGTTCTTGTTTAAAGCCGCACCATACTTTAACACAGAGATATGAATTCCTGTTTCTAAGTTGAAACGACTGCCACACCCTAACCTTATCAAACAAATCTGGTGCACAGAAGACAAAGGATTTTAATGGAAGGGAGCATACTAACACAATATCCCATGCAAAAATAGTCAAAGATCAATACAGCTGCCGTAATTTCTTACGCCATACACACCTTAAAACCGATACAATAAGCCCATTGAGCGAGTAATGACGTTAGTACCACAGCCTCAATGACAATTTGCCACCCACTCAAAGACTATATTCTTAGCAGAAGATATAATGCAATTAGAAAAGAGTTCTAGAGTGTTGAATTAACCAATCAGTCCCTTATCCAACTATTATTAGACGTGTAAAGTTGTTTTGTGCATTCTTGTCTCCTTGGACTCTGTTGGAACCTGTTCTTACTTGGTTGATCAATCGTAGAAAGATTCTAGCCGGATGCAAATTCTACAAAGACGGGGTCGCCGCGGAAACCAATTGTTAGTCCAGTAGAGAACTTCCTGCTGGCCAGTGAACAATAAAGTGAACCCACTATCAAGCAGCTAAACGAGACATATTTTAAGCGATGGTTTTCTGAGGCAAGATGATTTGGTTTTATTAACTGAGTTGATAATGTAAATTGGCCAATGTAAAGAGTTTCTTAGGCTGACTTTTCGAGTGTTAGCCCCTTGTTAGAACAAATATTTTTCTTTTGTAGATCCCACGACTTTGAAAGAAACCTTGTATTA